CTTTGGACTAGGCTAGCTAGTTCTACCGTCCCCGTGTTTGGCAGGGTGACGTGGACGTGAACCCGGCCCGTAGAACGTGGTATCGAGATTTGCCTTGAGCCGCATGAAGCTCTATTTACTAGTGCAACAGGGACTCGCCTTGGGTGCTCGGGCCCTACGAGAGGGGGATCTTTTTCCAAAACCTTCAACTTTAGGCGTGTTGTACGCCGATCCAACTTGCCGGGTATGGAGGAAACCCTGTAACCGCAGTGGGAAGACAGAAAAGTAGGCAAGATCCAGGGGAGAGATGCTATTAAAACGCACGTCAGGTTGGAGGATGTGGCTAGAACTGTCGCCAAACACTGAGCCAGGCCGGCACGGCATGGCTGGCGCGCATGAGGTGGGATCGGTTTTGAGTGACATCGGACGGCGCCGCAAGTGGTAACGTCTCCACCATCTCGGCACGGCTTGGCGTCACGGAGCTGCGGCAGCGCGGGCTATTATTGGCGTCGCCGGGGTTGCTTGTTGTTTCTGTGTTTTGCAACTCTCGCAAGTTTCCGGACGTGCAGTCATGAGGCCTGAAAACACGTTTAGCGAGACCAAAATATTCTTGATTTTTCGATGGTATCTTTTTTTTTATGGTTGTCATGAGACATTTAGACATTAAGAAGTAAAGCGCATACACACAAAGAGAAAAGGAAGACGCGATAAACTTGATGCGGGATGAGTTGAGGGCTTCAAGGGGAGGAGGGTACTGAAGTGATGTCGAATATCGACCTTCACTTCGTAATCTCCGTTCCATTTTTTCTTTTCTGCTGCCCAGAAATTATTACACCAAACCACCAACGTCCAAGAAAGTTTTTTGCCTCAAAGGAGACGACGCAAGCTGCAACAACCCCCGATTTTCCTCCCGGTTGTCCGTTTCCCGGTTTCGACCCCGAAATTCACGTCAAGGCCGTTTGTTAATTAGTCGTGGAGAGTCTTGTCAGTGTAAATTGTCATGTTAGGTCACACTAACACTTGCAAGCACCAGTCGGGGCCAGCTCCAAAGGCAGGTAGGTGGTACGGTAAATGGTAGTCACCTCCTCGTTGTGCTTAGCGCTGAAGGAGCCGGTCGGGTAGGGAGCGCCGGTGGCCTCGGGGTGGTGAGGGGGCTTGGTGAGAGTTACGGGGTGATGGTAGTCTGAGGCCCAGCCAATGGTGTCAGGACAAGTGCCATGGAAGACGGGGGCATCGGGAGTGGTGGCCGGGACGGCGGCGGTGGTCGTGATGAAGCTGCTCTGGGCCGCCGAGAAACCGCCCGTCGCCGTCGCGGTGGAGTTCTTGGAAAGGGTCTTGCTCACCGTGACAGTGACGGTGCTCGGCGGCGCGCAGGCGGAGGGCGAAGCCGGGGGCAGCGTGGTGGGATCGGTGCAGTCGGATCCGGTGACGGAGAACTTGGGCGTCTGCGCGTAGATCACGTAGACGTTGGTGCCGTTGATGGCGTTGCTGTTTGTTTGGATTTCGGGTCAGCCACATAACTCCCCCCTCACCCTGCACTTCAATCTTATTTGACCCCCTGTTCTCTTTCTTTCTGTTTTGGAGTGGTTCACTCCGCTTTTCACTTGAAATGACCGTTGCAGTGCATGACTCGTCAGATTCTTACCCCTGCCCAGAACAGGCTAATCGGGGCACAGTTCAGGGGTAGAATTGGGAATTCGAGACCGCAAAGGGTCAAGAGTCAAGACAACTCGACAAAAGAGAAGGAAAAAGGTCGTAAGAGGCAGAGACAGAACGACAAACAAAAGAAAGCGAATGTCTCACAATTGGTAACCGTCAGAGTTGAGGGTGGAGCAGGGAACGTCGATGGAGGCAGAGCCGGCGGCGGTCTCGAGGTCCTGGGCCAAGAGGACGTAGGAAGGAGGCCAGTTGACAAAGTTGACGAGGAAGACGCTGAAGGTCGACGGGTCTGTGTCGACCGTGTTCCACGACAGCTCGTAGCTCTTGCCCTTGGCGACGGTGGAGTTGGCCGAGGGGCTGGTGAACTCGATGGCGGAAACCAGAGGGGCCGCGAGGGCGAGGGCAACGGAGAAGTAACGCATTTTTGGTGGAGTTTTTTTCGGATCCGGATAGTATTAAAAGAGTGACTGGGATCGGTGAGGGAGCAAGAGGGAAAACCTGAGAGTCCGGTGGAAGTTTAGGGGGGGCATCGCGGCCATTATGTGCTCTTTGGGAGGTCGAGGATTCGGGAAATTGCCCATAGGCATCAGCTGCGTCCGCGCCGCAAAAGGGGTGGAGTCAACCCCGGATCCTCTCGGCCGTGAAATCTCCATCGAACGACGCGGAGCCAAGGGCCCAAGGCAAAAGGCAAGTTCGTATTATCGTCCACGGCGCGCCTCGGCGTTGGCAAGCCGCCTACATAGAGAGTCAGAGATTCTTACTCGCAAGGGGGCTGTCCGGTGCCAGTTGGGCGGTTCACGATGGCGGGCATATCACTCAAGACAGGACCGTGGCACGGATGGTACTTCTTGGAGCGGTTAGAGTGGCCTCACGTAGCGTCAGCCTAAGCGAGAGCATTTAAGCAGTTTGCGGCACAGTTTAGCCCGGCTTTGCTGCTCGGCCTCTGGTGGCTGCTTGGTTCACCACTTTCTGGTGTGGTTTGTCTGTTGGTGTTTTGAGGGGAAAAGGGGGAATTGCTGGCCTAAAACGGACGGCTGACTGCTTCACAAGTTCATCTGTTCCCAGTCTATTGGGCGCCCGAGAAGTCGGCAGGGGCTTCGATTGGGCGTGTGCGGCGCTGCGCCAGGAACTCCTTTTTCTCACGACCAGTCCCGGTTCCTGAATGGTTCCTGACGGTTCCTGAATCCTACTCAATCTCAACCTTTAGGCGCCATCCCGCGATCCTCCAGGCAATTTTAGGTGTGTTCCTGCTTCCAATTGAGCCAACTTCCCAATTCATGGCGGCCGACTTTCTACCAGCTCCTTTGCGGCGTGGTGCGCGTGGCGTCAACCTAATTCAACAAAGCAAACGATTCAGTCTGACTCTCACCGTGATGCACTTGCACCGATCCGGCCGTTGTCCATGTCAGGACTTGCGAAAGGTCGTCCGCGCCGCAATCTCAACATCCTCTACGACAGCGGTTCGCTGCTTGTTTCCTTTCTCCCCCGGTTCGATTAACCAAAGTCCCCGCAGGAGCCGCGGGATGGGAAATTGGAAAGACGTATGATGGATGAGCCTACGGGCGAAAGCAGCAGGAGATTCGTTTGCTACTGGACGTGGAGTCTTGCCAATCTCGTTCGGATCGACTTCATGAAGAGTGAAACGGAATTTCAATGACTTATTAACAACAGCAGATGGGAAATGGGGATCCAGCGCATTTTCCTTCTGCTGGATCTCATTTCCTCTCCAAGAGCGGGTTCAACGAGAAAACGCGTCTCAGACTGGAACAAACGCGAGGTGGGCTTTCGGAGCCTGCGGGCCCACGATCCGCTATAAGAAAAGGAGGGGTTGCCTTTGTTCCGCCTTGGCGAATGAGGCAAATGTTGGGGCATGATGGGATTAACAAGCAAGACATGCGCCGCACAATGTGTCAATTGCAACATCAATCATGAGCGGCTCGCCGCTGTGTATACGATGGTGAGAGTCAGGTTGTGTCACCTACACACATCGACGGAGAAGTGCAGCGATTGTTGAGTCTGCGCGCTTCCATCACACTTATTCGCGTCGTAGCGAGATTCGATGAGGTCGAAAGAACCAACCACAGAGTGCTGATGCGCCAAGATCCACGGTCATCAACGCCTAAATAGTCTAAGTGAACTCGTGGCTGACTGCAGGAGACAAGCACATGACCACTTCTCCCACCACGAACAAGCTTAAACTATTCTCGACAGCTAGAGGCCACCGTCTGCCAGACCATGCTGTTCCAACCAAGGGAAGTGGGAAACACTCGTGCATCCTTTCTTCTTGCACCCAGTCATTTCGTCTGAAAAATTGGTTGGCACGGGTAAAGAAATGATCTCATCTGTTCAGCCGATGATGGGGAGCTTGGCTATCCTCATTGTCTGTTGACTCTGTTTGACCTCGGCCGGTGGGATGCGCATCAACTCCGACTCTCGACTCGCGAAGACCATCACCAGCCTAATATGTTGTGTAATTCAACGACATACATATGTCTTCCTTCATACCTCTCAGAGACATCCCGTAATGTAGTTTGCTTTCAATTTCAATATGCGATGACCAGTGAGAAAAGGTGTCCATGTATTTCTATGAACGATGTGGTGGGACAGTCCATACAAACCTCCTTCCATGCATTCAAGTCGTCGTTGCACTACTCCAATCGGGCGGGAGCATTCCAAAATCAGTAGCTACGATGATGATTGACAAGATTAGATGACCCGATTGGCAAAAGTGCAAAAGAATACTCCTCGACGGGGAATTGAACCCCGGTCCCCTGCGAATCGTTGAATCTTCAATGACAAGCAGATATCCTCACCACTAGACTATCGGGGATTGGTGGATGTTGACATCCAGTGATAGTTGGTTGGGTTCAAACGCTACTAGCAGCTATAAGTAGCATTCACGTGTCCGTGCGCAGAGCTCCCCTAGCCGGCCCCGTTCACACTGTTTCCTCAGCATCGTCCCCAGGAAGTTCAAACAACAAGCATACTATTTTCGAGCCTCAAAATTACATCCATTCTTAGTCTATACCTGTTCGATCGTAAAGCGCCATGTGTTTAGGGTAGGTGTCGGGTCTGCCTAAAGGATGCCTAAGGGCTGCTCGCAAACGAATCCATGTTTCCTAAAATATAGCATTTAGATATCCAGGGTGGACGAACAGCGATTTGATTGCGAGCCATGAAAATCGGTTTAGACTTGCGACTTCAGAGAACTGGGATGTGTCGAGGAGGAAAGAAACGTTCTGAATGCATCGCGATCGCAAATCGCAAATTATCCGAGATGTAGAGCTTTAGCTTCTTCAATGTTTTCAATACAGGTCTCGAGACGCCGGTAACTTGAGAAGCAGTGATCTCGTTGATGTTTCTCACGGGTATGGAGAAACCTGACGGCCTTTCTGCCGTTTTCTCGGAGGCGAATGAGATGATCCTGATGACTTGGGTGACTCTGGTGATTTAGGCGATCCTGGTGATTTTGACGGCTCAGGCGATTCGGCTGATTCAAGTGGAGGACTCGAACTTGCCTCCCCCTGACTTTCTTCGTCATTCGCGATCTTTAGTGGTTTCCGAGCATATACAACATGCCTAAAAACATTTAATCATCAACTATTGAAAACAGTGGGTGCTCATGATCATCAAAATGGAAAGGACCTACACGTTCCAATATGCGTGGTACCACGTCTTTGCCAAGTCTTTCCGAACGTCATCGCACAATTTTAAGACCTCTTCCCTTGTCCAACCCATGACGCGCGTAAGAAGACCCAAAGTCAGTGCCTCTATGCCCATGTCGAGATTGAGAACCATCCACCTCCCAATCTCTTTGAACCTCTTGTCTTTGGGCCACGTATTCAAGGGCCAGATGAATTTCTCGGTTACAATGTCAACGAATCCGGCGTCCTCGATGGCCTTGATGTACTTCGATGGACTCTCGATCGAACGTCCACACTGCTCGCCTGCTTGCGCCATCAGGTCATGCCATCTTCGCAGTGCTGATTCTTCGGGAACGCTGCCGTCATCACAGCCCATTGGAAGGACGAAACCACCGGCTTCGAACCAACCACCAGGTGTCAGATTGCTGCCAAAAGTCTTAGTGAGTTATCCATACTCGGTATCCTTGCTAAACAACTCGAGAAGCCATACTCGTGTATCTCTTGAATAATCAGCTTCGGATCAGCAAACGATCCTTCCATTGTCCGGCAGAAGATGAAGTCGAATGGCTCATGCCAGGCCCACGGCTTTTCTAGGTCGTCAATCTCAAATTTATAGTTAGGAGGAGCCCTGTGTGATCCATTAGACCATATTGAAATTAAACAAAACGAGAGGTTGTACCACGAAGGTTGAATGGGACTCAAGTCAACACCGATGACCTAATTCCAACTTAGTCTGAGCGTGTCAAGAAGTAGTCAGGTATCGAACCTCGGCATCCTTAAATTCGTTCGCTTTAAAACGTGACGTATTAGCCGGGGCTAAACTCAGAGATACTGTGCATGAAAGCCACTCACCAAAAGCTATGGCCCACACGCCCGTCCCAGTGCCCATGTCCAGAACACGCTTCGCTGTTTGGTGAGCTGGGCAGACCGCTAATTTACCTTCGAGAGTGAGAGTCCAGATAAGGTGCTGAAAGTCTGCATCATACGACATGAGCATATATGAGTCGCTTCTGCTCTGCACAGCATGTAATTTGTTTGGGATTGAATGTCACACTCACTTAGCCGGTCATTTTCCCACTACACGGGTATAATTAGCGCTTGCTCATAGAGAACTGCATCATTATGGCACTATCAGAGGCACACTTACTTGGTCGTTCGGATATTGGTACTCTGTGCCTCCAGTCAGCAATTTTAAGCATATTGATATGGCAGACAATCAATGCCATAGAGTACGAACTTCCGGCGCTGACGGAGTGGTAGGTGCGACCATTTTCGTGTTCGCTCTCCCAAACTCTTGATTTTGCCGATGAGTCCGAACTCAAAGACTCTGCTTCATCGAAGAGCTGTTCAATAAGGAAGAAGTATTCAGCAAAACATCGGAGCTAGAGCACAAGACAGTCCGCAAATAGACAGGGATAGGATTCTCTCACGTCTTCTTCTTCCAAATCATCGTCGGCATCGAACACAGCTAACTGCTGCTGCCGTGGTTGCTGTTTCTCCTGTAATATTCATTTTAATACGTCAATATAACCGATTGGCAACCAGCCCTCTCCCAAAGAGCTGGCGAAAGTTCGCTCTCAAGGGGTGGGGGTTTGCTTTCCTCTCCATCTCCGTCGGTTGGGGGCTGATCGTTTGCAAGCATGGTACGACTCAGAATGTCGCTTGTCGAATACTTGAAACAGATTATGGTTACTTGTTCGCGCGTTCTCGTGGCTGTCGAAAATAGGACGAAAAGTCTTTCTGGGTAGCTAAACTGCCAGAGGACCCCAACGAGCATGAGAAAGCCGGGTAATTGCAACGAACAAAGAACATTACAAAAGTGACAGATTCTATTTGGCCACCCCGGCTCTTTTGACTGTTGGTGGCGGAGGCAATCGCACCACAGAAACGCATGTTGGACCGTTGCTTTGCTTGCCTGCAGTGCACCAACGGCACCAACAGGCGCTTCGCGGTTGGTTCGATGTTCTGCACGCAGCATCCAAGAGAGAATCCCTGTGACCCCCAAAAAACTGACGAAGGTGATAGGATGAAAAACGTGAACACTGGGTGATGCCTGCGTCGGACCAACTTGACATGCAGCCGAGATGGTCCCCCTTGTCATCAGCCAGGCCGGGCCGGATCACATTCCCTGCTTTTTACCAGCGGACACTCCACTTTCCCGACTTGGTCTTCACATCCCTCTCTACTTCATGTTAGCTCAGCGTCTGCTGTAATGTTGGAAATTCTGCCGCGTCGTGGGGCAGGTCACTCCGAAGGTGCTGACCCTGCACATGTCTGTGTGACAGTAGGTATGAAAGAGTTTCCTAAGCTGATATTCGAATGTATGATTGGCTACTTAGACGCGATGTGAACACCAAACATGATAGTGCATAAAGTTCAGCAAACATCAATCAGCGTTTATCAGCCCTCCGCGTGAGTGGCCAGCTTATAATCGCCAGTGAGGATGCCAACATCATCGATCCAGTGTACAAGATCAACGGCGCAAACCGACCGAAGCCGTACCCACGTGTCAAAGGTCCCATCACCAGCGATGCAGAGATCGGGCCCGTCAGAATATTGCCGACACCTTTACTAAAGGCCATGAAACTGTACACGTGCCCCGGGTCTTCTGAGAGGGCCGATCCGAACTTGTTCCATAGACAAGGAAACCCGCCCGTCGCCAGTCCGAACACCACTGAGAAGGAAAGTAAAGGTGCAAGGGACGAGGCAAAGCCCCACATGGAAAAGGTCGCAACGGCAGCAACAAATGAGGAGGCGAAGACGAGAACGAGCACGTTGTTGACACGGTCTGTGATGTAGCCGAGGGCCAGCTGACCAAAGATCGTGGCTAGATTGTTCGCCGCTAGGATCAGCGCACCCACAGTCCCCGAGAAGCCCAACGATGTTGCGTATGTCGGGAGATAGAGAGCGGGGATGTAGTGTCCGAGAGCTTCGAGGAAGTTGGCCATGGCAAAGCAATAGAACAGTGGCCTTTTGAAAAATTTAAAATCGCCTTTCTTTAGCGTGCCCCGCCTTGAGGCAGGAAGCCGTGCTTTGATGAAAGGGATCATGGGAAGCAAGGTGACAAATTGTGCCACAGCCATGACGCGTAACGTTGTCTGATAACCATATTTTGCAAGGAGCGACTCGAGAAGGAACGGCAAGCCAACACCACTACACCCAGCACCGGTCGACATGATTCCGTATGCAAGACCTCTGCGCTCGATAAACCACTCATTAAGCATCCGAAGAAGTGGATAGTTGACGAATACAAAGGCAAAACCGTAGAGGAACCCCTGGGTTGCGATGAGTGCAGGCACTGAAGTCGAAAAAGAGGCGGCCAGAAGGGATAAAGCGCATCCCGACCAGCCAATGATGATCATGTATCGTTGCCATGCCTGGAATCGTGCTGCCAAGGGCGTTGCGAGTGGTCCACCGAGGTAGTAGACACTGGTGGTAACGGTTCCAATGACGGCAATATTTGGATTATGTTTGAGGGCAGGGTGTTTTGAGTAGTAGTCTTGAAAGACGCCATGTGACAGCGGGAAGCCTAGATACCCGAGTAAGTATTTGAGATGAAGCTTCTGAAGTTTCGACCTGCGACGGACATACCCCAGAGAACGGCTTCAGCAACAAACGAAGCAAGTATGAAGAGCCAAGCAGACAACCCTTTGTCTACAGCGAGGCTAGGCCGACTCGAGGCTTCAACATGGGTTCCCATCTCCCCACGGCGGACGGTCTCAAGGCTCACGGTCTCGGAGTGAACAGACATTTCGTGGGTAGACTCTGAGAGCATGCAAAGATCTGGAACTATAGGAGAGAGAGAATACCGTCTTGCTTCAGATGATATTCCAGTCAGCTCATATACGGCTTTCCAACTGCTCAACTGCTCAATCAATGTGTTTGCTACATGCTGGCGGTTGGCTTGTGCTCATATCGGAATATCATACCACTGGTCTGATGCAGGGTAAAGGCTAAATCGGCCTGCACTATGCACACAGACCAAAGAGGTTCCTTGTAGTCAACGAGATATTTGCGCGGTTTTCCTGCTGCTGTGGAAAAAGGCGATCACTTGCTTGCGCGATATGGTTGCCTCACCGGGCACTTACGTATCTAGACCTAGGTAGATCTGGCTCGCACTTGGCGGATCCAATCAGGTCCTCGCGGCCCTTTCACAGCTTATTAGTGATAGCTTTTGGAGCGGATTAACATATCATACCTCAACATTTTGAATTCATTGCTACTGAAGATATGTGTAACGTGTTCCGTTAACGCCACTCAGCTTCCATCTGGATCAGTGAACATCGGCCCCGTGGAGTCATGGACTGGCATCCATGTGATACTATATTGTTCCTCACGAAGCAAAGAAGGTCCATATGAGAATGAAGTCAATAGACTTCCATTGAGTTCAGATGACGTCGAAAGACCAACCCGCCTTCTAGCAGCAATAAGCTCTTGGATGTGTGCGTGCGAGCGCTCATTACTAGCACACATACCGTTAAATGCTTCTACGATCGCTTCGAGATTGGGAATTGGAACCAGTCACTCAGAGCTCGATACTTACGAATTCAGTTCATTCATCGTGAGCTGACCCCTTGGTTTGCTTTGCTTTGTTTCAGTACTAGTCTATACTGCGTGCCGATTAGCGGCCGTGGGGTTCGAAGAGCACCTTATCATATCACTTACTTCAACCCCTCCCAGCTTGTTATTATTGATTCTCATTTGTTTACGACTCTGAACCTTCCCGGCCTATATTAGATGGTTCGATATTATCCAAGGGGATACTGTGCAAGAACCTTCGTTTTTCCCTCCTGCCATTGGATTTGGCAAGCACATTTAGCCTTGTCCTACTCACCTAGCCATTTTTGGTAGTCCCAACCGAGATACTGCATGCTGTAGCTAGTCTAGCCAGTCGTTGAAGGCGACGTTTTTGGCCTCGATCTGCTTAAGTAATGTCCATGTAACCCTATGCATTTGTTAGGCCTCGCCGGTCAGACCCCGTCGGTTAAGGGATAGCTCAAGGGGTATAAAGAGGGGGACTAAGTAATAAAAGAGTAACTTAGGTATATATAAAATACTAATAATATACCTTAAAAAAAGGGTAAATTTTAATAATTTATTTTTTAAACCTTAATAATAATTAGTTTTTATAAGCTTTTTTTTTATATTATATATTTATTAATAATTTAAAATTTCTATTTATAAAAGGGACTAAGCTAAGAATTTAAAATATTTATAAAAACGAGATATAATAAGAGAGCGTAGTTAGTATTATAATAATAAAAAGAGGACGATTTATTTTTATTAGACCCCTTAGAATTACCTCTTTTTTAATAAATAATATAAGAACGGAGTATAATAAAACGAACTATATAATAATAATATAAAGGGACCGTATTATTAAGAGTATTAATAAATTTTAAATAAAATAATAAACTTTTTACTCTTATTTATTAATATTTAAACTAAATAATTAGTAATAGATTAGTAAAGTTATAAAAATAGGAACAATAATTAAAAAAAGAAATTTTTATAATAACGTACAAAGAGCGCTTATATAAAAAATAAGTAAATTTAAAACGTTTATAAAGCTTTTTAAATAGCCCGGCCCCCGTATTAAAAGCTACGGTTTTAGTTATAATAACTTTAAACGTTAATTTTAATATAAACGGGAACATAAACCCCTAAATTAAAAATAGCTCGATAAGTAAAACTATATTTAAAGCGCTACTTAAATAATAATAAAATAATAAGTTCGTATTACTTAAACTTTTATTTACTAGCTCTTTTTTAATTTAAATAAGTATTATAAATAGAACGTTTATATTTAAGCCGCTATCCCTTTTTAACTTATTATATATTAATAAATTAGTATAGGACTTATAGAGCTTCTTATTTAATTATTATTATTATTTTAACTTATAGGCTTAATAAATAAAAATAGATTATAATAAAGTAGCGTATATAGTTAACTACTTAAATAATAGCATAAAGACCTTCTAAATATACTATATTTTTAACTATAAAAGGGTCCCTAAGTTTATAATAAACTAAGTTATATAAGAAGAACTAAAAACTTTTTTATAAAATAACTTATTTAATCCTACTAACTAAGGGATAGTAATAAGTATATACTTAAATAGTACTTCGTAAAATTAAAAAGAGAGGGTTAACGAGTTTATTAATTATATTAATAAGCTCGAAATAGAATTAGAATATATTTTAATAAAAAAATAGAAGATTTCTATATTAATAAGTAAGCTATAGCCTAAATTATACTTTATAATAGTATTATAAATAGAACTTTTATAAACTTATTTATAATTAATATTATTAATAAAACGTATTAAGTAATTTTTATTATTAATAAGGAGCTTATAAATATCCCCTAAGTAATATTCTAATTTAAATTTAAATAAGTTAGTAAGGAGATATTAGGGTATTAATAAGCTAATTACGTAAGGAGTATACCGTAACTCTCTTAGTAAGGATATTATATATTATAATTATAAAAAAACTAGTTATATTATAAAAGATTATTTATAATTATAAGAGTAGTATTAGTAATACTATAATTATAATAAAACCGGGTACTTTATTAATAGCTACTTAAGTATTATATATTATAAGTATAACTAAAAGGGATATAAAATTATTAATTATTAATTAGACCTCGCTCTAGTTAAGTAGCGCGGATTAATAATAAACTCGAATACTATTTTAATAAAAAGGGTAGTTAATAATTAATAAGGGCGGCGCTTAAACGTCCCGATTTATATATATTTAAATTATATATAAAAAAAGCTAAGCACCCTTATTAATTTAAAAATAGAAAGGAACGTAGTTAATATCGGGCTATTTAATAGTTTTAATACTAATTTACGAATTTACTTATTATTATAGCTAATAAACGTTAAGAGTAAATAAATAGAAACGCTAGGGAGCTACTACTTATAGCTTCGAATTATTAATAATAACTACGTAATAGAGATATAATTATATCGTTTTATAATAGCTAATATTACGGTACTTATACTTATACTTAGTTTTCCTTAGTTAGAGAATATTAACTTATTAATTAGTTAGAAATAAAAAAAGTAGTAATATCTAATTTATAAATAATATATCCGCTTAAACGCCCTAAAAAAGGGGTTATTAAATAACTTAGTTTTAATAATACTTATATATATTATAATTAACTTAGTTATAGATAGTAACGTAATATTAATAAGCGTAGCTAAGGATTAAAAACTATAATACTAAGACTTTAATAACTTATTTTTAAAAAAGAAGGCTATTTTATTATTAAATAGAGTACTATACGACTATTATATTAAACTAAATAACGCTATACTTATCCTCTAAGGACTTATTTATTTATTATTAAACTATAAGCTCGAGATTTTATAAAATTATTTAATAAAAGTAGAGGCTAGGGGCTAAATATACCTTTTTATAAGCCCGGCTAGAATACTTATTTTTTTTATATTTAAAAAAAGAGGAGAGCTATAACTTTACGTTAATTATAGAGCGATTAATAAGATTATATAAAAAAATAAAACGCTACTATTACTAATTAGAGAGATATTAAATAGATTATTTAATATTTTCGTTTTTATAAAGCTAGACCTTAAGAACGCGTATTATTATATATATATAGCTAAGGGCGATAAGTAAAAGACGGTTTTTTATACTAAATACGGGTAGTTCGAGTACTTAATTATATTTTTCGGGCTAATTAACGTACCCGCAACTTTTTAAATATATATTAATAACGTTCTAAGTAGCCTAGTTAATACTATTTATATTATATACTTAGATAATATTTTAATATATAATAATAACTACGTAATATATAAAAAGTATATACGTAACATATTATAAAAATTATAATAATAGAACTTATATCTAAATAGTAGTAAATATAAGTTTTATATATTATATATAAGATTCTTAGGGTATATTATATTTAACGAAGGTATAAAGATAGAACTTATATATACTAAAACTATAATAAATTAGCTATTTTTAAAGAGTGTTAAAAATATATAGACATTTTTTAAATTTATAGGGTTTTATTATAGATTTATTAATAATTATATTAAAATAATTATATTTTTAATAAACTTATTAAAAAAGGCGAAGTTAGGATAATTAGAGTTACTAATACTTATTATAGAGTTATTTAAGAGGTTATTAATAGTATTTACTAATATACTAATATTATAATATTTTAACTTTACCCTACTTATATAGTTATAAATAAACGCTTCGGTTTAAGCTATTAGCTTAGTAATTATATAATTATTTAAAAATAATTAGTATTTAATTATTTATAAGTTAAAGAAATTAATAAATATAGAGAGCTATTATAGTATAAAAAATACGGAGCTATTAATTATTATAAACGTATTAAAAAACTAATAATATTATTTTATTTATAACCGAGATCGGGTCGTAGTATTTATAAACTATTTTAACTTATAATTTTTAAATATTAAAAAGAGGCTAAATAAGAAATAGCTACGCTAATTAAATAAACTTATAGTATTTAATATTAAGATTAAGTTTAAGCTAAGTATTAAGAACTTAGTAAATAGATTATTATAAAAACTTAATTATAATAAAAATAATAACAATAATAAAGTAAAAGAGCTATTATTAAAAATAAAAAAAGACTTATATAATACTAAAAATATATAGGAGCTTTTTAAAATTATAGTAATAAAGTATATAAAAACGAGCTATAGGAGCAGCTCTTAAGTAAAAGGG